CTTTTAACCACTAGTAGCATCCAACCTTCTCTAGTGCCCTGAGTTTCCTATTGAAGGTATTTTTGGTTGGAAGCATCAACCGAGACAGAAGGACTGACTGATTACTCAACTATTATTTTCTGACGAATTACGGTAATTCTTTACATTTCCTTTAAGTGTTCCTTTTTCCAAAGTTTTCTTTTGCTTGTTTTTACAACCGTGCCGATGCTTACCTATGGGCAATGCACGACGAACATAGTAGGATAGCCCTTGGGGCTCAAACCTAGACCTCGTACCCATCTTTTACTGTATCTATGTGACAAGCTCCTTCGATACAGTTTTGAATCCCGGCAGAGGTAACGGGTTTTGTTAATAACTTTTGCGGTGCTAAACACCGCTAGTGGAAGCGGAAAAGCACTTAACAAGGCCAAACAAACCTAAAACCATTGCTTTCTACTGCTAACTTCTGCCTTACTACTATCTTTAACTTCTCATTTACTTTTTACATTAATGATTTTTGTCAGGCATAGCTATTTTTGTCACCACACTTATTACATATCCCCATATTCGTCCAAATTAACTCATTGATGAGATCCAGACGAGATATCAAACAGCGTCGAGATATGAAGGAAACCCTTCCCTTTTTATGCCTTACTAAAAACATTTATAATTCTTACTTCAAAGGTCAACTCAAGCGAAAAGCGAATGCGGCATTGGGGAGATATGCGCTATAATGACGAAAGCAATAGAATTTGGATGAACAGGAGAACATTTAAAACTGTCTACGAGCTACTCAAACTCGGTCTCAAAAGCGTCAATGTGCTGCCCCCGTCAAAACTTTCTCGCCTGGGCCCTGTATCCTATCTTTCCTATTGGCTAGGAACCCGAAAAACCCCTCTAAATTTAATTCCTTACCAGCAAGTGTCGTTTTGGGAAACTGCATATTTATAATGTAATGTATGTACACGTGTGTAAAAGCAGACAAGTGCGGAGGTAAGGGAAGTGTGCCTTTGGAAACGAATAAATTTAAGGGGCTTGCATGTTCCCCTTATCTCGCAAGCTCCAGCTTTTGCCTCACTTTAACCTTCAACCCTGAATTTTTTCCGTAGGGAAAAATATTTTCTTGCTGTTGTTCATTACTTGGGAGCATGTAAATAACACTATAATGAAATTTGGAAGCTTTTCGACCACAAAGTAAGAAACTAGGGAGCCGTGAGCCACCGTCAAGGCTTAAATTGTTAAATGGCTTGCCCACATTACCCCTTCCTCCCCCCACTCCCTCCTTGTCGCCTGCAGTCCTCCTGGTTCACAGATTCCTGTGCTAGCAATGTTCGAAGCTGAAACCGCAGCTGTCCTCTACCCGTCTGCGCGCTAGCCGTTCCCAACAGAGAATTCAGAAGAAAGTTTAAGCAGTCACGTAACTGCAGCACTTACCGCTCTTGTTGTCGTGAAGACCAAGATGTGGGCAGCAGTGGTCG